ATCACCTTACTCCCATGGTTTGTACCTGACACATTAGGTCGGGCAAGATGGTCATGCTGTGGATCCCATCCATCAGGGATTGTCATCTAGTGGGAGCCAGGAAGTGTGCTTTTACTGTAGTTGTGCCTTCTTCTGGAATACCATGCCACCTGAGTTAGGTTGGCCCCAACTCTTCTCATCTTTTGGAAAACCTTGAAGACCTGGCTGTTTTCCAAGCAAGGGGCTTGGGAGGTTAGTTGAGCCTACATTCTTGGTGCATGATGTCTTCAGCAGCCACTTTGTCTTTTAGTTGGTTAATATGTATATTTTTAAAGTTGTATTTGTTAACTTTTTTGGCCACCCAGAGTCACATTAATGAGATGGGCAGCCATATAAATCATTTTAAATAAATTAATTAATATCATTACACGATGGAATGCTGCTTAGAGTGGAAGGAAGGCAGGAGGACATGGCCAGAAACATGAGATAGGGGCATAAGGTTTTGTGGCTTGGGAAGGAGTTGGACCACAAGAAGGTGCAGTCCTGGGTTTGGGGTTGGATGAGAAAGAGGCAGACAGGCAGGAGGAGGAGAGGATGAAGCAGAGTGGAGAAGAATGGAAACCGCAGCAGCAGCCATGCAGGCTAATGCTGCTGAAATTACACCACAGAATCTGGGGTGTCAAAGGTTAAATTCATACTTCTGGAAAGCCATATGAGGTCCCTGGGCTGCAGACTCTACTCTTTTGTTTCGTGAGGCCTTGGAGAAAGCAGCAAAGATTGAAATATTTGAAACACAAGAGCTACTGAGACAAATTCAAGTTTGTTTCTTCTCACATATTAGGCCTTAAACAGCTTGGGGCAGGGGATTCCCAACAGATCATCTTTACCATTACAGAACCTCTGATCAACTGCCAAGCAAAATAGGGGACATTGTCCTGCATAAGCTGAGAACTGAATAATACTATATCTGGGTTCTTGGTGGGTCAGCTTCCCTACACTCTGAAATGCTGTCCCAAATCCCCAACCCCAAACTCTATAAAATCTTTTAGGCATCTGTTGAAGATCCATATTTTCATCCTGCATGAAAGACTGCTGTTCCAATTTTGTTTTATTCTCTCCACCATTAACAAGCTTTTCGATTGTTATATTTTTAACATATTGTTTGTGTTCTTGCTTTTTTCACTGGTTTATTCTAAATAGTTGTTAAATATATTTATAGACTGGCTTCTCATTATTGCAACCTGGTAGTATATAAATATAATTAATAATAGTTCAGATCCATATTCTTCATTCGAGCACACATTGTAATGAAACCTTATTGTAATGTACTAATTAGGGGAGATCCATTATTCACAAATATCCACTAAAGACAGAAGTATATAACAATTTATGTCACTTGCGTGACAATGTCACTGTGCAAATAATGTAAATCCCCATGGAAATTTGGTCTGCTGCATGAGAAGTTCTTATACTGAGGTCTGGAAAATAGAGGTTTCCATGTATTCTCAGAGTCATAGACTAATATGCAGCAACTGTAGCCATGTGAGAGCATGTGCTTTCCCTCAAGTGCCTCTCTCACACACGCAGATCTATCCATAGAAGCCACAGTCTTCACATAGCAGACATGGGTATGTGAATTAGCCACTGGCAGTTTGAAGAATGTCTTTCATACTGTTTTAATAAATGCTTTCTGATCTCTTGTACTTGGGGCCTGATCTCTTGTATTTGGGGCCTAAAATATGTACCACCATTGGAACAAACACAATCACAGCATCTGAGAAGTATCTTGGGCATGGATAAAAGGACTTCAGCTGCTGCAGTTAGAGCCGAATTGGGAATTTATACAATTTGTTCTTTGTCTAAAATCAGGGCTTGCAATTATTGGTGCAAAATCAATGCTATGGAAACTGGCAGACTCCCAAAATTGTGTCTGATAGAAGAGACAAAATCTCAATTACAGACCTCTTGGATTGTACTATTGACAAATTATATCAAAAGCTATGGTCTCCCTGTCTCTTGTCCAACTGTTTTTGGAGAACAAGCTAAAAAGATTGTTGCACAAAGTATCTTGGATACTGAAGCACAGAGAGACATAGCCACCATTAGTAAGGTTGGCACATTGAAATGGATGAGCTGTTATAAATGTACCTTTCAAACTGCCAAGTATTTAAATATAGAAATGCCTAAACATCTTAGGGCGGTATTTACTTGAGTAAGGTTTGAGCAGCTGGACACAATGGTTAGATATGGAAGATTTAACCAAGTCCCTTATAACGAGCATACTTATATTTGCGGAGCTCCAGAGATAGAAGACATAATACATATATTATTTGAATGTCAATTGTAAAAAAAAAAGAGAGACCAGTAACTTGGATCGCACATTAGATGAATGACCTATTGCGATCCTCATATTAAAACAACATACTTTATGTGCAGTCAGAATTCAAAAATCACATATAATACAGTCCTTTATTTAAACAAACAGTACAGTTGAGATTTGCGTATGTGGATCTGACTGGGGTAAATTATAGGGGTGATACAGAAATATGATTTGTACTTAAGTTGTTTCCTTTATTTTATTTTTAACATATGGTCTTATTAATGTTCTGTGTTTTGTATTCTGTATTCTGATATGGCCTAATGGCTAATCAGTAATAATAAAGACACATTAAAGATCTCTTGTACAGAGAATAGAAAAGCTAAAATCATGTGCCATTTGCAGCTTCCTATCCCCTGAATTTATAACCTTTAGATCAGGCCACCAAAATCCATTGACAAAATGGTTTAACACATCCATTTTGGCTTTTTAAGTCCTCTTTCCCCGAGCCCATAATGGGCCACAACAATTGACTCTGTCCACCCGGAGACCAATTCTATAACTTTTAAGCAGCCTATAGGGTTCAAATTGAACAGCTCTGGCCAATATTATTTACAAGACAGCTCGATGTTCTTGTTATTATTTTAAATTCTATTGTGTCCAAATTCTGTGGGTCTTTCACTTGGTCATCTCAGAATATACCAACTTTCACAATCTTTTATTCCTGATCAATGACCAGCTTCTCTGGAATTACGGTAGATTGTAAAGACATTGTTTAAAGCCACTTCACTAAGAGCTCTTACAATGAATGTAGTCTACAGGTAGGACCAGATCTCTTGCCTGCATGCAGTAAAATTCAAAGATTGTTAAGATCAATAGGTTTGGGATCTGTGTTTGACTTTATTTTGAACATTTACGCCCTTCCTGTCTGACAAAGGAAACACACTGCAAGGCTTTTGTTATGCAATCAATCTGCCTCATTTGCAGAATGTTATGGGGGGGTGTATTGCACAGAAGTTCTTATCTTTCTTTTGTTTTCCTACCAACTTCTTCAATCCTTTTTTCTTTCCACTGGGAAAAAAAATCATCAAAGCAGGAAAAGTGGAATAGCTGCAGAATGTCGTTTGAACAATAGCACTGTGAACGGTCCATCTGGAAACATAAAACTAGTTACAATGGCTAAAGGTTGACATGAAAAGCAATGAAGGATAATAAGATGGTAAATACATTTATGGGGAATGGCTGTAACTTAGAGGGAGAGCAAATTATTTCCATGTAGAATAAAGGTGGAAAATGTTCATGTCATCCGGGGTTCACTGAGGTCCTTCTAGACAGCATGACCAATTGTATTATATTACTAGAGTAGAGCCAATTTTTATTATTTATTTATTTATTTCTGCACCATTGTGGTGGGCTGTGAGTATTTAAGGGGAAAGGGCTGCCTATTTACTTAATAGGACAAAGAAAAAAAATAACAATAAAAAAACCCTGTATATATAATGTGGCCTCGTCTATTCTAGGGGCCTCCGATCCTGCAAAATCTCTTGGCCTCCCAGAGATTATCCCCTCTGATTTATATCTCACGTCTTTATCTCATGTGAACCCAGTAAATTACAGCTTGTTTCATGAACCATGATTAAACAAACCACAGGATGTGCAAAAGTGAGCAGCCCTAATGTCAGAAGAGCTGTGGCAGAGGGAGATCTTAAACTGAGGTGGTAGGTTGGGAGAGATGGGAGCTAGTCCTCAGAGAAATGGGAGAAGACTTCATTTTGCTAGGAGAAATCCTTTCTGACAGAACTTTAAATTCTCAAAATCAGAATCAGTATTAATGAGAAAAGGCAATGGTTTGTGTGTATTAATAAGGTAGCTCTTGTTTCTGGAGGTGTTATAGCTACTAACCTCTATTTTCACTGGTCCTTTCCTTTCAAACTGCACAGTGTGTTTTCAAGCTCTTGCTATACACTCTGTGAGATGCCAGATCACAATATGCAAAGCATGGATTGGGCTAATGAAGTTTTTCCTTGAGATGCTGGATAAAACCACTGAACACTCAAAATAGGAAGTTCCAGACAAAGGACAAAGAAAATGTTCCTCTTGTAACACGGCAGTCTTGAGCAGGCAAGCGAGCACAGAGTTTTCTCAACAATGGTAAGTGAAGGATCTTATCTTTATTCTTTATTTCACTGTAGCAGATAAAAAAGGAAAGTAACCCAAAACAATAGGAGGAGTTTGACTGCTTGGCAAGCTGTTCATAGTAGCTGGCACCTAAATTTCAATTCCTTCAGTTCAGCCAACAGCTACATACTATTTCATAATCTCGTGCTTTTGCACTTTTAAACAAGTTGCAGAGACCTACACCCTGTCTTTATTAAATAGTAAGACAATAACTAGATTCCATTCAGCTTATGTGATGGTAGCCGTAGACTGAACTGAGAACAAGATGTGGAAGGATCAGTGTTTGGAGTAAAAATAGGGGTGGCAGTTACCTGCCTTGTAGTTCATTAGATTTTTCAATCTAATCTGTTTTAGAGCACTGTTGATAAGATAAAATGGAGGTAAACAACCATTCAAACTGCTTGAAGTTCTTGGAGGAAAAGTGGGTTTAAATGCAACAAGAGTTCTTAAAGTAGCAAAGAGATGATGAACTTAATTGTGGGCTTTCTGAAACTGGTAGGCAGAAACAGCTGCAAGAGTCAAAGACTACTAAAATAGATTAGAATTACATCTGGAGATCATTCTCTGTGCATATTTCTTCCTCATCAGGACAGCTGTCAGATGTTAGGAGTTTGCAAACAGAATGGTTAATCAACTGACTGTCGGCATTTGCTCTCTTAGCATCATGAGACCAAAATACAGCTTCATCTTTCACATAAGATAAAAGTGCTTTCCTGTACTTTGTTGTGCTTTACAGGCATTCTTATACTCACATGCGCTGGAATTAAGGACAGAAGGAAAAATTGAAAAGGAGAAAGTGAACATAGTAAGAGATAAATTCCACTCAAGTGATAGCATAATCCTATACATGTTAACTTAGAATTACACTTTGTTGATTTTAGAGAGCTAATTCCCAGATAAATGGACATGAAATTACAACTCTGATCAATCTGTTGCCCTACTTAGTTCATTAGAAAAAATGAAATAAATGCATTGCTCTTTAACTTAAATTGTCAAGACTTTAAACAAGAGAGAGATAATCCACAGTTAGCGACTGTTCACAGTTAGGACAGGGATGAGAAAGTAACTTTGTGAGCAATCCCCACATTTACAACCTTTGCAGGTCTGTAAAGCAAAGGAAAGCTGAAGTAAGATCATTCAGTACAGTTGCAGCTTCATTTAATGACTGACTTAGACAGATAAGCTTTATACAAGCCATCCCCAGTATGGTTCTCATCAGTTGGCTGGGAATTCTAGGAACTGTAGTCCAAGCATCCAGAGAGCATCAGAATGGGGAAAAGACTTTAGAAACCTTCTCATAGCATTTAACCAAAACCTGCATTCAACTCCTGGAGTAACTGGGAGCAAGTCTGAACTGATTTAAGACTATTGAACTTATCTAGCAGAGATCTTATTTTTTCTTTCTTTGAAAAATCCCAACTGCATTCCCAGAATCTTTCAGCTGTTTTTCAGAACTTGGAAAGTGTTGTCCTATACTCCTGTGCCTAGTATAGAGAAGCTTTTGAGCCTCTGGTAGAATTGCTTACACGCAGACAAAATAAAGAAGCAAAATAAAATATAGTTGATTATATTTGCATTGGGCATGTTTTTTTTTAAAAAAACCCCACATTTTCATGTGTTTTGTGTGTGTATCTGCCCAAGTCAATGCTTGTGGAGAAAGAAAGAAAGAAAAAGAAAATTAAAGAAAAAGTAAAGCAAGAGGAACAGAAGAAATGGACAGTGGTTTTTCTGTTCTTATCATCAGTGTTGACCAAGGGTGTGTGGTGTACAATAGAACAAGCTACATAGTCAAGTTCTGAATCAGCATAGTGTAAGCTTGATTGCAACAAGGGCATGCAGGGGCTTTGCTTATGACCAAAAAATAGTGTTATGCAGGAAATGCACAAACAGTATGCTAATGACTTGATTTTTTTTTCCACCAAAGTTTTAAATGTGAGTGAAGAATGGCAGGAGAAATTGCTTAGGGATGCCAGGACTGAGCTTAAGGCCAGATCCCTTCCCGGGCCTTTGCCAAGCCCAAAGCTCTCCTCTTCTTCAGAAAAGCTGCATCAGTGCATGGCAGAAGTTCCTTTCTGGGACATTGAGTTAGAAGTTACTCCCTATAGGGAGTAGGAGTTACTCCCTATAGGAGTAACTTCTTGAACACTAACATGAAGGGAAGTTGCTTGGTTGACCCTGCATTTTTCTCCAAGGGTACAAAGTAAGATCAGTCTCTGATCTACAGATCAGCTTAGCTGTCAGTGTTGTTCACTGGTGATAGAATTATTGGCTTCACCCATGGCAGTCTTGCTATTATATATGGATACCTATATTAGCCTTCCCCAACTTGGTGCCCTTCAGACACGGTGGAGCATTTCCCTGATCCTCATTCTGCAGAACCAAAGGATCTTGGGCAGTTTGTTTTGTTTGTGTTGGCTAGAAAGAGCTCAAATCCAGTCCATCTGCAAAGCCCTGGATTTAGGATATATGTAGATCTTTGTGATATTTGCATCCTAGGCCATGCAATGCTTCTGATTATACATGGAGACTGTACCATACATAAAGTTCTATGCATGCAGAAACCTTTTGAAAATAGGTTAATTATATGAACCTGTTAGGGACAATTGGTCAAAAAATACATTTTCTGCAGCTTCTTCCTTCTTTCCTTAAATATTTCCTTCTCATCTACAAATCTGAGCAGAAAAAGTTAACTAGTTTTCTGTATCCAGCTTTTTGCAGTCCAGATTCTCATCCATCACAGGAATACCCACTTCAGCAAAGAGATGGAATAATTATTTCCCCAGGCATAAAAACTACCTCTTTAACTGCAATATTTTATACCTATCTCTTTTCCTCTGAATGTTAGCATCAAACCTGCATCCAAGGTTACACTTTTACAGTGGAATAGTGTCTGATAAGAACAGCTTTCCCCAGTCCTCTAGATGCATCGGACTACAATTTCTATCATTCTTATAGGGATGATAAATATCTAGTGGATAACTAGGTTCTGATCTGCACATTTAGCAAGGCATTTTATATAGCAAAAGGATCAAATTCCTCATGTATTCATCTCTCCCTGACAACAAACATCATGGATGAAATGGCTCTTTCACAATAGAAACAGACTTTCAATGTATTTATATTTACTGAAAAGAAAAGAAAACTTATTTAACAACTGTATTCACACATTTATATAAACAGCTGGTCTATGTGTATTGGCTGCTGTAGGAATTACATTACTTTGGTTTTGGCATAGTATTAATGTAAATCGAGTCATTAAACCATGATTTATGGTGAATACAGCTATTTTTGGTTTCCTTGGTAAACTGTGTTTAGCAAAATATGGATTAGGACAGTGAGTTCACTCCATTGTTTGGGTTCACTTGAAAGATGCGAGAAGAGCAATACAAAGGGAGTGAGTAATTTTAATGTTATGGATGTTTCTATCAGCCCTAGCTAGCATGTCTGAAGACTAGGGATGATAGGAATCGCAGTCCACAATAACTCATAGGCTCACCTTTATTGGAGTGAGAAGCTGAAAAACTCAACTCTAGGTGAATTTGATCCCTTTAAGCAGGTGTTGATTTATGCTGTAAATGTCCTGTTTCCCACCCATGGAGGCCTGCATGATCCTGCAAATAATATATTTAAATCTACTTTGCATTTGCTTAGAGCAGGAAATGGATGGGTTATGCGTACATTCACACTAATGGGCAAATGAGTCTCATATGTCAATGTGTATAAGTGTTTTTACATATGGAAATGTAGGAATGGGTAGAACCTTCTTATTTTTCTGAGATAAATGGACTTCTTCTCTGAAGCAGCATAATAAATGGTGGCCAGTAGGGATAAAAACACTTAGTATTTATTTAATTTGTACAGCCACCCATCTCAACAAGTGAAAGACATGGTATTTCAGTAAATGTTAGAAGCTGTAGGGATCTGTGTGTGGCTTCCTCTTATGGTGAGCCACTAAGTTACAGGTGGAACTTCTTCATGAACTTCCTTCAGGCCCTGGCCTGACTCTGCCCACCCTGGCTGGCTGTTGGAATTATCTCCTTAAAAGAAGGTCCATAAGAGGTCTTCCTCCTTTAGTTCAGCTTTATGTAACCTATGCAGATTAGCTAGGCTAAATTTGGAAGTATACTTGCTTACTCTTTGTAAGTATTAATCCTACTGGTTTGTCATCTCAAATTTCTGCCAACAATGCAGCCCTAACAGCAATGTTGGCCAGTTTTATTAACTCTGGATTACTGATCCAGGAGTGATTGTTTTGGTTTTGAGCCACTGGGTGAATACATGGCTGAAAAAAAAAAAAAAATTAAATATTTTCCAATTGTAAACACTCTTACATCTATATCTGCTCATTCTACCCAGGACATACATTTATCAGACAATTTTGCCAACTCTCTCAGCTCTTGGTTTAAGGGGAAAGCTCCTTGTCTATCAAGGTCTATCATTATTCCTACATATACATCACCACTGAAAGACATCAAAATTTAGGAGCCAGATGCTTTTTCTAATAGCTGCAATCAAGTCTGTAGGCAACAGTTTACTACACCCTGTTTCTCTATGCAGGGAAAATCAAGAGGGATTGATAAACTGGCGATCAGCTGTCTGGAAGAATTAAGGTTGGGATTGCTGATAACAGCTGCCTGTAATGGCAAAATAAGTCTAAACTGACTAGAATAACTAGTACTGTGCTTTGTGGCATACATTTCAGCCCCTCCATTCACAATAAAACCTACATCTTCACTTCCTTGGCAGGTATTCTTCAACTCCACTCAACAAGATCAAACCACAAGCATTCACATTTATTTCATCCTTAGTCCATTCTCTTAGTTTCAGACTCACAACATATCTACTTTTTCCCCTTGCCTTTCATTCATTAATTCATGCTGTTTACCATTTATTCCTCTTCCATTCCAAGTCATCATCTTCCATATGCCATGGTGGCCAGCAGAAGAGCCCACTGATATTGACCTCTGCCAGCC